GGCTCGAACTCACGGACCGCGAGATCGTGACCTGGCTGAAGTCGGACTGCGCCACCCAGGCGCCCCGAAATTTACCATTTTTAAGTGTGCAGTTCAGTGGTGTTAAGTATATTGCCATTGCTGTGCACCATGTTTACTTTTAAATCCCTTGTATTTAAATACAGAACCTTGGTGCCTTTCCCCTTCCCACACTCCCCTGCATTTGACAAAGCAGATAGCCTAGAATACCTGTGTTTAACTGGTACAGTATATTTAGAGCACAGGTCTTGGCTCCAAATCAGTGACATGTGGGCACAAGGAGTTATGCTGGGACCTAGCTGCCCATAAGTGGCCGTGTGGTCACAGATCTCTGTTCCAGGAACTAGAACTCAGGCTAATGTAATCACCGTAGCTTATCAAACCCAGCATCAGTTTTAGACACCTTTACTCCTGTGGTTGAAGAATGAGGTATACAGGTGGCCAAACAGAAGGGGAAAAGAGTTCTAAAAAAATAAACACTTTATTAAAGTGTGGTAATTAACATAACTTTAAAGGCAAACAGAATATCTGAATTTTTCACAGTTGACATTTAAGACCCACATCTTTGAGTCTGCTCTTACCACACACTTTATATCCTAAAAGAAATGCAGTTAAATCGTATGAATAAAATGCTTACCTATACAGTTAACCGGATGAAGAGAAACTGTGTAGTGTTTTTATTTCAAAACTTTGATTCTAATGTGATGGGCCTGGTAGCCTTAAGAATTGAGATCAGTTTTGAAAATTGTAAGCTAGGATGGTCAAACTCACTCTCTTAAGAAAGACATATTTGGGGGGCGCCTGGGTGGCGCAGTCAGTTAAGCGTCCGACTTCAGCCAGGTCACGATCTCGCGGTCCGTGAGTTCGAGCCCCTCGTCAGGCTCTGGGCTGATGGCTCAGAGCCTGGAGCCTGTTTCCGATTCTGTGTCTCCCTCTCTCTCTGCCCCTCCCCCGTTCATGCTCTGTCTCTCTCTGTCCCAAAAAAATAAATAAACGTTCAAAAAAAAGAAAATTAAAAAAAAAAAAAAAGAAAGACATATTTGGAACTAGTCTTATTTAGTTCCTGCATTCAAAAAATATTAACCGGTTTGCATCATTTTTTCGGACACTCTGTTGATTCAGTTCTTATAAAAACATGGCATTTAAAATGAAGTAAATTTAACACATGGTCATATCAAACAGGAGAGATTCACGGTTTCCAAAGTAGGTACTTGATAAACTTGATAAAGAAGTGCTTCTGTCTTCTGTTTTGTGCACCATCGAAGTTAAATCTTCAGATATCTTCAGAGAGATCTGCAGTAAAAAGTTGGAATTATCTCAAAGAAACTGGCAAAACAGCTCTTTTAATAAGTTAGGGAACTATAAGAATAAAGACACTAGAACTTAGTGACTTGAATTTTCAGTGTATTAACGTTGAAGTGAGAGAAACTTTTTACACCTGTTTTCTAACTACAGGTAAAATATGGATTCCCTATTAGCCTTTGTTGAGTTGGGCATAGGATACCAATGTAATTATTCAAACTCCTTACTTAAAAGGACCCTGAGTATATCTTATTTTGGGGACTATCACAATTATAATAATATTCATTTGTTGCTGCCAGAAAATTTAGCAGAGATACCATAGTAAGAAAATGACTGGCAACAAGTTGCTGCTACAAAATACTTACAGGTTTCTCTATGGTGCAAAACAAAACCTTCTTTACATTTTCTTTTTCCCAGAAACTTTACAAAACACAATGTGAGGGGTGCCTGGGTGGCTCAGTTGGTTAAGCGTCTGACCTCAGC